CCCCCCCCCCCACCTGCCCCCCCCCCCCCACCTCCCTGCCACCGCCATTGCTTGGAATTTTTATGGTTTGCCTATTTCATTTTTTGTTTAACACCTGGGCTTTTTTTTTTTTTTTCTAAATTTCTTCCCAATGTAAGAAAAAAGACTAGGTGTAACCAAAGTGGCCAGTAATTACTTAATTTTGTAAATATGAAAACAATGCACAATGTGTGTACATTTAGTTAGATAATAATGAAAAATAGCGATAGGTCCGATAAAACAATTCCAATGCAAATTACCATTTAAGCCTTATTGCTGAGCAGATCCTCAAGCTCAGCGAGGTCCTCTGCGGTCATATCGTCCTGCTCCTTGTCCAGCTGCGCTTCCTCGGCGTCCGATGAGAGGTCCTGGTTCACAGGAGCTGAAATGGAAGAATTTTGAGAAAAACTATCGGAAAAATCATTGCAAAGAGAGATCAACAGTTTTAAAGTACTTGTACATGTATGATAAGCTAGGGTATACCTTGTGACTGATGAAGCCACTTTGTGTGTGTGTGCGAGAGAGAGAGAGAGAGAGAGAGAGAGAGAGAGAGAGAGAAGCTGGCCTGTGATCATATCAAGTGTTCCTTGAGATAATTCAACTCTAAGAAGAATTAAACCATCAAGACCATTCACGCCACTTTGATAATGGACGGTCACATACCACATTTAAAGACAGTCAATGACAACAATTCTATCCTTAAACCTGTAATACTCTTTGTCAGCAGAAAAAACGCATTTTTTTCTCAAAAACATACCATTTACATCAAGCTTCGACATCTTGCCGGCTTGAAGATCGCTCTAAATGGCCTTCAGGCTATTCTCCTAAAATAATTTAATATTTTCATCATTTAATTGAAACTTATGAAATCATCTTTGCTCTCTTTCACCCATATTTTCCGAATCACGCTCCGTCTCTTTTCCTCTCATTCGTTCTCACTGTTTCTCTCTCTCTCTCTCTCTCTCTCTCTCCGGGGTGTACTTACGTCATCAACACCCTCGCCCCAGCAAGCCCATGGGTTGTGCTTGCAATAGTGCTTGACCACCCTTTTGACGAATCTGGAAATAGAATGTAGTGTTTAATTTTCATTTTCTTTTCTATTTTTCGAGGTCAAAATATCCAGAAAATTTCTCCACCCTTTCCTAACGTAACACACAGATTGGGCTTTTTAAAAATAAATGTTTCGTTCCCACACTAGCTTGGGTAGAGTACCTATCTTTAGGGTATCCAGTGTCATAAGTGCATTATTAATTCGATCATCTCATTTCTGGTAATGCTGGTTAAATTATCTCCACTCATTATTCTGTTTAGCCTTTGCTTGATTGAAACTGAAATTGTTCATTATATCTGCAAACATGATAACAGTTGACACGCCACCCATGCTTATCAAACCAAGAAGACTGTAAAATTATCTGAAATATTTCTATTTATTCTTTCTTCTTTTTTAAACCAAAATTTCCACAGAAATTGCTTTTGATTATGAAATAAGCAAAAAAGATTGCTTGCCTTCTTCTTAAGCTCTGTCCTTCCTGGACCACCGTAGCCACGACGACCACTAAAATGCCTATAAGCAGGTACAGCTTCATGGTGGACTGATAGGAGAAGAGAGAAATGGAGTGAGGAAAAAAAACATAAAATGACATCTCGAAAAAATTACGTCAACGTTTTGTAAAAGGTAAAGATTGATCTTGGTCGTCTATTCAGTGCATATTTGACCTTTTATAAACAAAAAAAAATTCCTATAAATATCAAATCCGTTCACCACCAAGGCACACCTAACCAAAACCGTTAAAATTGATGATAGCTGCTAATTTTCGAGTAACTTTTAGAATGGAGATGGAAACTTGTCAATTTTACTCATTACGGTAAAATTAAAACGAAAAAGCCCAAAACTGCTATATTGATGGCCATTTTTTCTACAAAATCGGATACATTTTGTTGATTAAGATTTTTTTTTTTTTTTTGAAATTTCAATATATTTTTTTAATATCTTTGTTTTTTCAATATCTTATAGTAACGGACTAAAACATAGCGAATCTAAAAGAATACTGGGGGTAGGTGGAAGTAACTTGAATAAAGCTAGATTTCGATCATTTTTATCTGCCACTCCTAAATGCAAGATCACTTCCCGAAGGTTATACACGTAATAGTGAGAGATACTATACGTGGGATGGCAGCATGAACATGATAATAGTTGAATATATTACTACAATTATGTTGATATTGGTTGAAAAGCGGAAAACTTCCGAAAACCCAACCAAAATTAAAATTTACCCCAAAAATAACAACTCATGTTTTAGAATATTAATCGCTTCACGTGTGCATCGTTCAGTCCTTGAAAGTTAATTTGAAGCCACACAACTTAATCAGTATATCCATACACTCTATTAAAGATGTATTGGCCGAATAAGTGGCTTGAAATACGCCATGTTACTATATCAAATTAGATGGTAAGCAATTATAAAACTTTGCCAACATACAGCTACAATGTGATGCCGCAATGTTGGCCCCTAATCTTTAGTAGTAACACCGTAAGCACGATGAAAACATCTCACCTTCAACAAGGAACGCCTAACGCTGGTATATTCAGCTGGGTATCTCTATCGTTTAGCGATATTGATGACAATCCAGCTAATTCATCTCTCTTATATATTATTCATGGCAGAACTTTCCAAGAATTTTACAAGAGTAGCTAATTTTTTTAATGCAAATTCAATACTGTTTCTTTGTTTGGATTCTGAGAAATTTTAAGCTCTACGTTTCCCAGAAAACATGTCAAGGAGTTCCAGACATCAAAATGATTTCATAACCTAAGGGCGCATTTAGAACAGGTTGATCCGTGGACTAACAGATCCGCAGATCAAATATGGCCGATCCACTTAATAGCTTGCCGCATATTCTTCTAATGACTTAAGAGATTCCCCGCGGGGATTTGGTGGTAAGCTAACAAGTGAGTCGGCCATATTTGGTCCGGGGATTTGTTTGTCTGCCACTCAACTTTGAGCTCATTCAGAAAAGATGATTCGCGGACAAACTGATCCGCCGACTAAATTTGGACGATCCACTTAAAAGCGATGCTGCTAATTCCCTGATGGTCTCCCCGTCTCCACACTCGCCGTCGCTGCAGGGGCCTAGATATTAAAGCTTGGGGTCGAGAATTTATTCCGTTAATGACGCGTGTGGAGGCGCGGAAACCATCAGGGAATTATTGCATCGCTTTTGAGATGGTCGGCCATATTTGGTCCGCGGATCAGTTAGTCCACGGATGAACTGTTCTGAATGCGCTCTTTGGTTGTGGATGCAGCATAAGTCATTAACTCACCTCAAACAGTTGAGGTTGATGCATACACTCCAATTTCGTCTGGGCTCGACATCTTGGAAAATTTATTAAACAGATTCCAGGCTATAAATTATGAAGTCGCTTACTACATACATGTATTTAAATGTTATCTACACGACAAGGTCTCAGACTTTCCAGTCGATTCGTCGCGACTTTAATCATGATTAGAAGCTATTCAAGTTATCAAAATTACCCACTCCAAAGTATGTGAGAGAGAGAGAGAGAGATGAGGTTTAGTGAGTACAGAAAAATCTCCGCCCATTCAAATGATTAAAAATTGAAGTGATATAAATATACTGTCATTCCCATTATATCTAGAAGAATTGACTCGAATAAGCATGTTAGTCCCTAAATACATCAGACAGATTAAATAACATTTCATATTTTAATATGATAGGTAAACACTTAATTTTAAATAGAGTAATAACAAACGTCTCTTTTTCAATAGCAACATAAGAATTCTTATGCCCAATTTCTGAGATGAATTACCCAGACCCGCCCCCCCCCCCCTCTCCCAAACAAAATGACTGAAGTGCTGTAGTTTGTAGGTTCAGATTGTTCTCGGTAATTCTAGGAAAGTTAGAATATAAGTGCTGTTAAAGATATAGATTGTGCCATAGGTATCAGACGTTCTTATCAAAAGTTGGTGGCTTTTCGTCATTTTGGTACAGGAATAGTTTGCTGGATTTGAATCTTGAAGTGTTAAGTTAAGTTAAGTCATTTTGATATGTTGTAAATGTATTTCGACTCCATGCTTAATCTAAGCCTACCTTAATTGAGAGAATGGATTGTGTTTAAGATTACTGCGTATTTTCAATTATGAAATGCGTGATTTTATAATCTTTATAGTGTATTTTAATACTTAAAAGTGCCAACTATATTTATCATTCCGTTTCTCTCCGTTTCTGCCCCCCCCCCCCTCACCCACTCACCCCCCTTCTCCCAGTGAATCCTCGTCATCCCCAGAAATGCACTGCATGACGTCACGCCTAGCCCACTGCGCATGCGTGCATTTTGAATGAGTTGCTAGATTGCCATAGGAAAATGAATGGATTCGCGTTTCGTGGGTAATTCGTGAGAATTGACAAACTAACGGCCTGATGCCGATAGACAGCAACGCTGTGCTATGCTTCAAGCAACTCCTGACCAAATATCGCTAGGGTTTTTAAAAAAATTCTGTTGTACACACGTACTAAGAAGTTTGCCGTATATTGCCTAGACTACCCTCAGCAAAACGCAAATATTTTCAGTTATAGTGATTTTAGACGGTAGATTCACTCAGAAACAAAGGGAAATTAATTCGTTGCCGATAGCACCAGCTGATAGCAGTAACATACAGAGTCTGATTTAAAAAATTCATGGCAATTGAAGATTTTTAACCACTGTACAATGGAGTCCAAAAGGAGCACTTGACACAAATGTAAAACTGCCCAGTGCAAGGCCAAGAATTCAATCAGTATTTTCAATCATATTATCAGATTCTACATAAATTGACTGACCATATCACTACTCAGTATTTAACTAATCTCTTAATCCAAAATTCCTATCATCATTTAATAATTATGCAAAATTCTTCTTTCAGATTGCTATTTATTTAAATTTTTAATGATGCAACTCTTCCAGAATAATCTTGTAGTAAAGGAAAAATGCAAATAAGAAGTGGAAGACCAATTTTACCCACAGTATTCAATTATTTGAATATAAAAAGAATAAGATCACGATTTAACAAATTAAAATAATCTTTCATGAACTCTTTCATGAATAACATATTAAACAAAAATGAAAGTTATAAATCAGTGGTAATGGCTTATTCTGGAATATATGACCTCTGTACATCATCAGTACCTGACTTGGTACATTATAGTTACTACTTGGATACAGAGTTAGATTTAATAATGTAACAATAAGAACAATATATATTATAATAATGAACTTCTCTGCACATATCAGACGCTTGTTACCATGAACTAACACTACTTGACAATGGGCTGAGCACTTATCACAGAGTCTGTGTGCGATGCCATTCTTGTGCTGTGATTGGTTAGTTGAGTCACGTGAAGCCCTGCTGTTGCGCCCTCGCGTATCACGTAAATGCTGCACATTTCTGGCCATGTAAAATGGCAAGCCTTAAAAAGTAAGTTGTTTTATATTAGGGGCTCGCACTGGGGAGGGTTGACAAGCTCAAGAGAAAAAGCATGGTTCACTCACAGTGCTGTGTAATAAAAAAGTTCAATAATAGGTATGTTAATAAATTTTTAGCAAGGTAAATTTTATTGGGATTGCTATAATTTATGATTATCATTTTGAATCGTTAATGTAGCTCTTAGGACTTTTGCAATGTTCACCAAATACATCTATTCGCCCATTTGGTGTTTCTAATGAGAATTAATTCCCTGAAAATCGCATTGCTATGCGTGTACTCACAAAATCCTTATAGTCACTTATGAAGCGTATGGACTTTAATGTAGCTAAAACTTAATTTTCCTGGGAATTCCTCTCTTTTTTTCCTTCATCAACACAGTATAGATGTTAATGTCCCATATCTAAAACTGTTGACAAATTTTTTTTCCATAAAACGGTCCACCATTGTTTACATAAAAAACTAAAAGCACATCAATGTCACCAGTCGAATACAAACAAGTGATGTCGATGCACACTGATTTCACGTAGACACGATTTCCTTGAACTCCTTTCCTTGAAGTAATTATGATTAACTGGATTTCAGGTTATGAGAAATGTGAGGCCGTTTTTAATCACGGCGCTGAGATCATATCTCCCTTATGCAGACAAGTTCTCATATTTTTATAGTTATTTTTGTGCTGCTATGAAAAAACTTTGCTCAACGCAACAGATTCATTGAACTATACACGACCTTGACTTATTCAAACTTAATGTTTTACCCCTTCTAATTGCGATGAGAGAGGGAGGGGATTAACTTACATGTCGTGTGAGAAGCGTAAAAGTTCCGCCTTAGAAGTAAATGAATGTGACAAGCATTGTTCTGTTCGTATTTTCATTTTCATGATATTGATGCTATGTATTTAAACGATACCTGCTGTCTCCCCGCTTGGCACCCAGCACGAAAGGATTGAAGCAGGGGTCTGGTAGAGTAATAACACACGTCTCTTTTTTAATAGCAACATATGTCCAATTTCTGAGATGAATTACCCAGACCCCCCCCCCCTCCCAAACAAAATGACTGAAGTGCTGTAGTTTGTAGGTTAAGATTGTCCTCGGTAATTCTAGGAAAGTTGGAATATAAGTGCTGTTAAAGATATAGATTGTGCCATAGGTATCAGAGGTTCTTTTCAAAAGTTGATGGCTTTTCATCATTTTGGTACAGGAATAGTTTGCTGGATTTGAATCTTGAAGTGTTCGGGTTTCGTTTCAAGTTGTCGTTTTGATATGTTGTAAATCTATTTTGGCTCTATGCTTAATCTAATCTTACCTTTATTTGGAGAATGAAATACGTTTAAGTTCACTGCGTATTTTTAATTTTGAAATGCATGGTTTTATGACCTTTATAGTGTATTCACTGCCTACTATATTTATTATTTCGTTTTTTTCCGTTTCTGCCCCCCCCCCCCCAACCCCCACCCACCCATCCCCCCTCTTCCCAGTGAATCCTCGTAAAATGGCAAGCCTTAAAAAGTTATAAGTTGTTTTGGGGGCTCGTACTGGGGAGGGTTGACGATCACGAGAGAAAAAAGCATGCTTCACTCACAGTGCTGTGTAATAAAAAACGTGCAATAATAGGTATGTAAATAAATTTTTAGCAAGATAAATTTTATTGGGATTGCTATAATTTATGATTATCATTTTGAATCTTTAATGTAGCTCTAACGACTTTTGCAATGTTCACCAAATACATCTATTCGCCCATTTGGTGTTTCTAATGAGAATTAATTCCCTGCTATGCGTGTACATTGCTATGCGTGTACTCACAAAATCCTTATAATCACTTATGAAGTTTATGGACTTTTATGTAGCTAAAACTTAATATTCCTGGGAATTCTTCTCTTTTTTTCCTTCATCAACACAGTATAGATGTTTACATGTATGTACCATATCTAAAACTGTTGACATTTTTTTTTTTTTTTTTTTTTTTTTTTTTTTTTATTGGCCATGAAACGGTCCACCATTGTTTACATAAAAAACTAAAAACACATCAATGTCACCAGTCGAATACAAACAAGTGAGGTCGATGGAAACTGGTTTCACGTAGACACGATGTCAGGCTATGCGAAATGTGAGGCCGTTTTT